GGTAATGGGGAAATAGGTGATTTTAAATGTCCACGTCCGCTGCCTCGCTCCCCTTCTCCACCTTTTTCTTTCGACTCGTTTGTGGGAAATGGAAATTTTCTTCTCTTTGCTGGGACTATAAGGCGATTCGGGATCGCTTGCGCGAAATGAGCTAAAGTCACCGGCGAGCGGGACGACTGGGACCGAGTGCTGATGGCAGCCCTGGGGTGCGAGCCAAGGCCCGGCCCCCTTCACGTCCCGGGTGAGAGGAAGGAAGGAAGGGCCCTCCCCGGGGCGCGGAGGGTCTGCTCCGGGAGGAGCCCACTAGCCCGGTGCCGCGCGGCTTCGTGGAGCCCAGGGAGGTTCCCCGCTGCGGCCTCTGTTGCGGAATTTCGGTATTTGCATAGTGCAGCGATTTTTAGACCTGTTGCCACAAGAGGCACACCTGTGTGAAGCAAGAACTTTCAAAACATGCAATACAGTTTAACAGAACACACCTTTCTAAGAGATAAATATCCACAGCCTTATTGCAATTAGTACGTATTCACAACATTAAAATAACATGTGGGAATCAATATCAAGTATTTTTTTTCAAGCCACAGATTCACCCCAGAGTCACACTCTAAATTTCCCGGAACCATAAGCCATTAACATTTTTCTAAACAATCCGGCCCAACCAGAAATGAAGATAATTTCCAAACAGCAGGGCTACAATGTATGCTAGGGTCCTATAAAAACGTACCTCTGATTAGTATTTTCTTTGATTCTCCCACAGCCACTCCATCAACATAAGCAGAAACGTTATGTGTGCTTGTGCCACTCAGTTGTGGAAAGAGGTTCAGGGGATATTATTCAGATGTGAAGCTGTGGGGACCTATGGCTGGAAATGGGAATCCTTGTGAGTAAATGGGAGGTCAGAGCAGACGAGGCTTTTCTGCCCACCAGCTAGCCAGAGCAAGGATGAAGTAATGAAATACAGTTCCTGGTGGTGAAACCGAAGCTAGGTCCATGTAACCCTGCAGCTGGAGAAATAAACATGGAAAGCATGGTGGAGCTTAGAACAGGGTGTTCTGTGCATCGGCTCTTTCCAAGAAAAATTGGTGGATGAAACTCATTGGCCTGAAATCCAAAGCCACCGACTTTGGCTCTGACCTTTAAGTCTTGATGGCTTTGAATCAGTCCTTCTGTATTAGGGTGTAAGCTGTCACTCTAGTTTAAAACTTTGTGGTTAATGAAATAAATCTTGTACAGATGTGCTTGGCCTCCTCGGTACGTGGTTCACTGGAACTTTGCTATAATGTAGAACATAATGGTTTTGCTTACAGTACATTCATAATGCCTCCTAAATTAAAACCACATTCCAGTGTCTGTTCTACCTCGATTCCTTAGCCCGCAGAGTTAGTGTCCATCTTGACCTCTGTACCAGTGATGAAAAACTATATATATATGTGTGTGTGTATATATATATGTGCATGTACGTGTAGTTTTTCTTTTTTAAACACTGGATACATTGTGGACTTTTAATCAAAACTCCCTACTTGGGTGTTTTTGCATTGATTATACTGTGCTTTAAAAAACAAACAAACATGCAATATCTGACTATTTAGTAAAGGGCACTGGTCTCTTTTTCCTTATATTATCAAATTAAAAAATGACAACAGCCAACACAATAGCTATCCAGTGTGAATGAATCAAAATTATACCGTTTTTCGGTCAGATCGGCAAAAAATATATATATTTTTGTGGTGCGCCATATAATTTTAGCAATTAGTCTATGTGCGCCACGAGGTGAAAAAGGTTGAAACTCGCTGGCATAGCCCCTTAGCTCGGAACTCCGCGCAGGGTGGGGACACCGCGTGCCCGCGGGCGCTGGAGGGCGGGTGGGCAGCCCCTCACCCCCGCTCCCCGACCACCCGCCCTGCACCTGGGTCGCCGGGGACGCTCGGCCAGGATCTCGGCGCCTCCTCCTTCCTGCCTCCTCGGCACCGCGGCTCTTGAAAGCCGCAAGGTCTGGGTGGGTGGACCGCAGCTCGGTCCGTGTAACCCGGCAGCCGGAGAAATAAACATGACGTGAATCCGGCTTTCCAGGAAAACGTTGGAGGCTTCGCCGTTTCTCACACTGACCGTTGGGAGCCGCGCGCTTAACTGTCACTGGTGCGTCGGAGCGCGGAGGCGCCTGAGGTTCTGATCGCGGGCGCGGGGCCGGGCGCGGAGCACCCGGACGCGCGGGCCGCCACCCTGCCCCCCGCCAGCGAAAACAATGGGAATTCGCGGCATTTAAAGGGCAGGAGGATCGCGCCCCGTGGGACTACAGCTCTACGGAATTAAGGAAGGAATCCACAGGCTTTCGAGGCACGCACATTTAGAGGAGTGAATGCAAACACCTCAGTTAATCGAGGTCTCCGGGTATCCAGCCCTTCAGGGGGTTAATAATACCGCCCGAAGGGGCTTCCCACTGAAAACATTCCCGAAGCGTCCAGAACGTGCCCTGGTCCAGACAGGTGCAGAGCCTTTCGCGCGGCCACACCTCGGCCTCTACAGTCCAAAAAGGGCCGCTTAAAAGCCTAAGTGCTCAGGTCGTGAATGCCCGGGGGAGCCTGTCTGAAATGAACGCCAGCGCGAAACCCGGGCACCGCGAGGCGGCCCGCGCCCT